CTTGTAAAGCATCAATCACATTGCAATCGCACATATCACACAAACATACATACCTTACCTACATACATACATACATACATACATACATACATACATACATACATACATACATACATACATACATACATAATACACATATGTATGTGGTGTTGTCGAAAGGTGCAGGGTTCGCTTTGACATCTCGCACAGCCATGTTCTCCCTGAACGCAGCTTATGGGTGCGGCGTAGGAGAACAAGCAACTCATGGCACGCAATTGGAGCGGGAGCATACTATAGCATGCGCCGTGCGTTGCAACCTCAGCGGTGCTTACCTTCAGAATCTCGAGCCCAGCAGAGCTGAGAGCGGAGTCGGCGGACTCGTCCTAGCACCCAGCCTCATAGGATATAGCAAGACGGCCTGGAAGCCTTTCTGGTGTTCCTTTCTGCGCATGGCGGGCTGTTGCACTGAGCACGTGAGCAGGCGCGAGAGAGCATGCGGTTGGCCAGCAATTCGCAGAACTTTGACAGCTTCTTCAGGTGAGCGAATGGCAGCTGGCAAGAGCGGGAACCTGAGAGCACGCAGCTGCATTTCGTCAGCACATGCGCGCCCTCCACTCAGGCCATGACAGCCTATCCGGGCTTGCCTTTTGCTTTCCTCTCAGACGTTCCCACTTTGGCTCTTTCACTGAGCTTTGTTGCAGACGAGACAGGATCCTGCCCAGCTTCTCAGCTTCAGCGAGCCATGGGATGCCAGCAACATGGCCGCGCATTCCTTTGCTGCGGCAGTCCTTCGGCCTCCACGAGCCACGCGCATCCGAGGCAAAGTGCAGATGCTGGACCACATGGCACCTTGGCTGCCGAGTCTTCGTTGAGCCACGGATGGTTTGAAACGCTGACCGCCGCTTAAGCCGTTTGGGTTTCGTAGTCTCTGATGCGAGACAAGGATTGTACCTTCCGTGTAGAACTGTAGAATACTGGCACGGTGCAGATGCCGAACTTCGCAAAAACCCCCCCACTTATCAGCCGGGATCCCTGACCAGCATCTGTCGCGATGGTTGTCCTGCTTCCCCACTCCAAGCGGCCAGAATACAGGCCAGGGGGACGCTTAGTGACTTAGTGCAATCTGAGAAGATGCTCAGGCCTAGACGCGTCGCAGGTCCTTGAAATACGCCTACCCCTGGGCTTTTGAGAACCTGCTCCAAACTCTGGACAACACGCCGGACCTGACCAAAGCACAACTTCCTCAGCTGCAGCTTGCCCAGCTTGCCCGTGCTTGTGTGCAGTGCTAAGAAAGAAGCAAAAATGCATAAAAATGCCCTCAGCCTCTTCTTCTTTTCTTCACTGAGGCGGCCGGAAACTGCAGACGCTGCAGACGGAAGAGACTCCAGACTCGGAGCTGGCACGGCCAAGACGGTGGCGACCTTAAAGCCCAATGCCAAGGCAGGGAGGTTGAGCGCCCAAATGGAAGCTCACGGCCTCATGCTTTGGGCAGGAGTGGGATGCCTCTGACACCGACGTGACCACCCTGAGCCACGAGGCCCCATGGGGCGTTTTCAAGTGCGAGATTTCTTATAGCGGATGAGCCCTATATGTATCTGGTCGCAGGCTTTGGTCGGGCATTTGCGAACGCAGGTCCTTCGAGGCCGGCTCGGCGGCAGAGCCGCAGGCCGCAGCCTCCTCTCCGAAACTTGTGGTGGTGTGCAGGCATGAAGAGGTCACGGGTCCGGTCCCAACCCGAGTTGACAAAGGACGGAGTCCACGCACGTCGCAACGCTGATGCCCAGTGGTGCATGCAGTGCAGGACAGATCCATGCCAAGACTGGAGCCAGACAAGGTCCCAAGCCATGCTTGTGTCCTGCATGTGACCACTTCGAAAAAACCTTGCGTAGGAGATGAGAACTACGCGGGGCAGAAACTCCTACGGCAATTTCTTCGTCAAAGAATCGACCTGGGAGAAGGCGGGCGGCGACCGAACATGTACGACTCGAGATCTTCATAGATCTTCAGACTGCAGGTGGGCTTCTTGGGGGAGCGCACGCTGAAACCCTACGAGCAGAAGCCGCGGACTCCACTGCCAGAGCACCTGCGAGAGGCCTCTCCGCCGGAACACCCGAAACCCGAAACCGAATTTCCCCGCGTCCTCATTCTCCAGATCGCAGCGTTTCGGCGCAGGAGATGCGAGCTGAGCGCGAGACTGTCCACCAGATCTCCTTGAAGCTCTCCCAACCGCGGAACCGCGATGGGATGATCTTCTCCGGTTAGTGTACAGAGTTCCGCGAGCTGTTCCTGAGACTGCACTGAGCAAGTTTCAGACACACCTCTCGGATCTGAGCCTCTGAGGGCGGCTTCTCCAAGAGCAGCTGCCCCCATACTAACTTTTAATGAGCCTCAACATGGCAACACGAAGGCACCGGCCAGGAGTCCCCGGATCCGGATCTTGGTTTTTCCGTCTTTCAAAGAGCTAAGCCAAGCAGCTTGTGAGGAAGGGCAGCATCCGGCCGGCACGGGCAAATGCGGCATTGACATAAGTAGCCAGGTCACACTGATGTACGCCGGCCCTGCTCCAAGTCCTTGTTTTTGTGGGGCTTGCTATGAGAAAGTGCAACTGAGCACTGAGGCGACCAATCACAACGAAAGCTTGCGCACGAGGAGGGACGGAGGGATGCTGGCATCTTGGGGGCCCCTAAAGGGGTCGTGCGTTCGCCTAGACCTGCAGGTCTTGACACAGGTCCGAACTCATCCAGACTCCTGGTTTGCCGTAGATACCATCCTCGCTACCTCACACAGTCCACCCCTTAGTGGGCTCGCAGTGGCAGTTACGCAGTTGCGAGAGAGACGTTGTTAGCAGCACCAGGTCCAGACACCAAATTCTTTGTGGCTTGGTGAACTGTGTGTCCAGCATTCCTGTTTGTGCCGGCTTTTATTGGATCGTTTCCAGCCTTTGTCCAACAAGCTCAGGCATTGAATGTGCTCGAAAACGTCATCTCCACGCGCTGGATGGTCTTGACTGAGCCGCAGTGCCTCCCTTTGCACTGGGGGCCACTTGCCGCCTCCATTGTCTCTCTGCGCTTTTTGTTGCAGGAAAGCTGGAATCAAAAACTATGTGGCTGGAGCCTGAGCTGCAGCCATGGAACCCATCGAAAACAGCCAGCTCTTCAGGTGCAGCTTGTGATCAAGATTTCAGCCGACGAGCATTTCGCAACTTCGCAGAAGCACGTCCTCACGAAGCTGAATGAGTCGCTTGTCAGATTTAGGTTGACTCGCTTCTTGCGCGTTTGCGTTTGTCTGTCGGCATGCTTGAGCTGGCAGAGGACTCTGGTGAACATCGTCAAGCAGGATTTGCAAGCAGCCCCGGTACAGCAGTATGCTGTGCGTACAAAGCTCGACAGGAGTGGCCGCATGCTTGGGAGAACTTTATTCCAGATATCTGCGGTTCTTGCAAGACGAACCAGCTTCTCGGACAAGACGCTTCTGAAACACCCAGCAATTCTTGGAGCGAGAATTAACTTAGGCTCCTTTGTGAGAACAACCTCCGCATCTTGAACATGATGAGCGAAGAGATTTTCACTTTTGGGAAGTCGCAGATGGTGTCCAAGAAGGTCGGCATTGAAAGGCCGTAGGGCCCATCTTCCGATGCTCCTGTGCAGGTGGCGAAGCTGAAGGAATCGCTGAACTCACAGTTTGCGGCCATTTACGCCTTTTGGCAGCATGTTATGTCCCTCCCAAGAAGGTAGAGCTTCAGCTCACCGACGCTCAGGAGCTTTGCAGCTACATTCTGAAGAGCCACCTGTCTGCAAAATCCTCTGCTGCGGGCACGCAAGAAATAAGACATTTGGTTAATCTGGTGGAGTTTATGAGAACCTGACAGCATCAGCTTACAAGATAATTGCAGCTGTAGCTTTTCGATTCACAAGGTGTAGACGGCTTGCTGTGAAAGTAGGCAGCTTCCAAGTTTGCGGGCTGCCAGGCTAGACATTGTGCGTTTTCAGGATCTGTCTACGCCTACGCTGCGGAAGACGTCCCTGCAAAGTTCAGGTTCCTGCAAGGCCTTGATGTTGCTAACTGTGAACATCGTCGCGAAGTCGGAAAGAGCGCTTTAAAAGAACAACAGCTTTTGATATGCCATGGCTAAAGAAGGAAAGGAACGCGTTTTGTTCCGTTGTGTCGTACCTCTACTTGGGGAGCTTCTTCGAGTCCTGCTGGCTGAGGCCATGTTCAGAGCCCTGGCTCCGTGAAGCCCTCCCTGATCACGACAACCCTCAGCTCCTTGGCGGAATGAGGCGAAGGAGAGCCTTCGTGTCTGTGTCCGCCTGGTGATGGCATGCACAGAGAAACATCTGACACTATACTCATGAAGCGCATCCTTTCGAGGTAGTCTTGTTTTTTCGTAGTAGACCGAGGCACCCTTGCAAATTTCCTCGAGTGGATCGCGCTCCTGGGCTGCACCGGAGACACTGGGGTTTCTTTTGGATTGGAGCAAGAAGCCCCAGCATAGCGAAGAGCTGGTGTCTTCACGCGACTTGCGACGAGACTCCATCTTCTCTAGGTTGGCTTTCATTTTCGAGACCGACCTCATCCAGATACTGTTGCTGCACTTCTGGGATCCATTGGAGACGCACGGACTGCAACAACGATTTTCTCTGGTAGAAGCACGACGCACCGGCCACTTCAAGCAGCCGGTAGCCGAGGTATCGCCTGGACTGTGGCCGCCTCAGATCTCTGTGTTTCCAGCGTTTCTCCACATTTCCAAGCCAAGGCGCCCGATGCCTCAACGAGATTGCTTGCCTGCACGAGGGGGTTCAGCAATACCAGCCGCAGCTCCCTCCTGAGCTTCCGCTGTCTCAAGCTCAAGCTTTGCAAGTAATGTTCTGTTATCGGCTGAGGATTATCCAGTGCTTCCAGGGCGTTGTGGAGAAGTGTCTCGACAGCACCATGTTTCAGAGTTTCGAAGGTTCAGAAATCGGAGCTCTCGGCGTCGGCTCATGGCAGGATCCAGCAGCTGCCGGAGAACATCAACGAGGTGCTCCAGAGCTCAAGCCGGTGAATCCCTTGGGGCCCTGGCTGCTTTCTACTCCATGCCGCCAGTGTTGCAGGCTTGTGCGAACCTCCCGGGCCCCCAGCGCGTTTTCTGGGAGGTGTTTCACAACCAGGTGAGCAGACTTGTTTTGGTTTTTGTTTACCTTCGCTCTGGGCTTTGGTGGTCTCAGAGGTAGCCTTGCTCTTGACTGGATTCCTCAAGCACCACATGGCTGCGATGGAGGCAGCGGAAGCACCGGGCATCAAAGCACAACGCGGGCAATGTGGTGATGCATCGGTTGCATGCACGCGTGCCTGGTTAATGGAGACATATCTATTGAAACAACCGTGCCAAAGTACAGACCTTGTATTGCTCGATGAGGCATGCACACTGCCTGCCCAGCTGTGCGTCTGTCCGTCTGTCGGTCCAACTGTTTGCGAATAGTAAATGTGTGCGATCTTGCATGTCTACACGCAAGCACCGCGCGTCTTCATCCATCTCCACCTGCCACTGCGTGTGTCATTTTAAGCGCATATCATGTTTTTGTTTTATGTGTTTGTGTGCACATGAACTTTATTCAGCTTGTGCACGGCTATATGGCTTTAGCTGCCTTCCAAGATGGGCCCTTACCTTCTACTTGCTGAGGTATAGCTGCACAGCCGGCATCAGAAATGCCTCCATGCAGCTGCACAAAACATGACAGCAGGGACTGCAAAAGCATGAAAAGCAGTACAACAACTAGGTAACTGGTTTAACTAGGTAGATACATGTGGCTGACTATTGTAGGACTTGTGTAGGGTTGTTACAGGTTTTGTATAGGGCTTGAAACTGCGAATGCTCACGGTCAAGCTACTCCCGTGGCAGAGCCAGGCCGGATGAACGTCGGCCTTCTCAGACGTTCGATATCCCCATGCCATGATTGTTTTCTGGACTAGCAAGGTGTAGGGTTTACGGTGCTATTGCACTCATCTCGAACAGAAACCAAGTTTCTGAATCAGAACCCACGCTTTTTTTGAGACACAGGCAGAAGTTAATAAGAGCCGGGCTTTCAACGAAGAGCCTACTTTTCTTACTCAACAGGTTCAGGGCTCAATAGGTATGCCAAAACAATCATCTAGATTTGCTCCGCCATTGACCTTCGCTTTCGACACAATACTAGGAGACCGCCCAGGCATCGGTGCACGGTTCTGTGCCTGCTATGGTTTGTTCAGATGCACGTGATGTCAAGCAAAGAGAGTGTCTGCGACCGTGGAGCAGAAGAGCTTCGATCTGTCGGGGGTGGTCCATGTACATGCGTACGTATGCACATACATACCCACTCGTAAGTGGCAAAACCAAACTCGACATGTTGGTAAAGAAATGTATAGAACAAAAGCATCGCGCGTGCACCTGCGTGTTGGCATCTACGGTCACGCTTGCATGCTCTGTTTCAAGAGCTCCCCCTCTGCGCCGAAAGGCCCAGAGCCGGTACATGATCCCGGCCCTGAACTACCTCGTCAGGTCGGCACAGTAAGGGTTCAGGTTCAGGTGCCTGGCATTGCGTGTGCGACAAAGGATTTCGATGGGCCCCAACGAGGACAGGGATAGCTAGCTCATCACTTGCCTCATACGATTGCCTGTTACTCGTAGGAGACCTTCAAAATCTGTGTTGAGTTCTGGCAAACCTTCAGCGAATGCCCCGGAACAGCACTGCCGCACTTTCTGCCGGCATTCTGGTCCTGGCAGCCTTGGAAACCCAGGCGCGCGGGTCTACTTGGAGAACCAAGCACCCCAGTTGGGCCAGACGCCGCAGCTTGGCCCAAGACGCACGCAGTGCTGCTCCGGAGTTCTCTGTGCCCCTCGAGCTCTCCTGAGATCTTGCGATCCCAGGTTGCTTATGGACGGACATCGAGATAGTCCGGATCCCAAACCCTTCGAAGAAGCTCATGATGCCCATCACACTAGAGGCTTCTCATGTTTGAGACGGGATGCTGGTCCTGTGTTGTGATCGGGCGGCTCCACAACACCACAACACTCCGCACGTGTTAGAGCCAATATGTGGATTCCCAGATCAAGAGATGTCTCTGTTTAGGTTGTTCATATTCTTATAAGTGAGTAAGATGACCAAAGTTTGCACGGCAGAAAAAGCCGAGGCCAGCGTGAGAAGCTGAAGCTCTACGCACCGGTCCTGGCCGAGGCTTCGGGCCCGGGGCCACGCAGCCCGGGCTGTGCCCATGGGAGCAGGGCCAAAGTAGAGCTCGCCAGGTCCGTCAGGTGCTGATCTCGAAGATGGCGAAGCCTCCAGAGGCTAGGGCCTAGGGAAAGTCCCAGCACGACCCGTGGGTGTGGCTTGCCGCTTCGGGCGCTGGACTGTTTGCAGCAAGACTCAACCAGGTCACCATTAAGGAGAACGAGGAAGGCCACATTGTGCCACGGCCCGGAGGGATACTGCGTGCCCCTGCCACACCGAGCTGACACCAGGTTAAGCACAGTTTGGCACAAGCAGTCGGATTGCCGCCGCCATCCGAGCACTCCGGCTTAAGGGCGGATCATGAAAAAGACGCCAGATGATATTGTTGCACACCACTTCGTCCATGCCGTAGCCGTAGACCACACTCAGTGCCTAGAGAATCGAGAGACTAGAAAGATGCAGACTATAGCAATATCTTGAGAATGTCGATACTGCCGCTCAGCTACTGCAGGAATAAGCGCCCCTGCCTCGATCCTTTCGGCATCACATGCTTGAAATCTGCGAGACATGTGCATGATGCTGTGGATGTTGGGACTCGTCTGACTTGGAGGCTGAATATGCCCCTCCGGGCTAAATGGAGGAGGATCTGTCAGGCCAGGGTGCAATCCTTTCCTTGATTGTCCGTGTTAAGAAAGTGTGCGATCCACGGAGGCGTAGTCGCTGGATCTCGGCCGCTGAGTGCAACTCGCACGGACTATTCCGCTCGCGCTATCTCAAATTCTCAAGACCTGGAAAGACGGGAACGCATCAGCGGGTCTTTGGGGTGGCAGCTCCTGATTTTCAACGCAAATCCTCGTGTGGGGGCGGGGCATCCTCTCCGAGGTGTTCACGTTGGAGCCGCCGAAGCAGGATCCACCTGCAGGAGTCTTGGGCAGGACCAGACAGTCGCGGCGGGGGGTTTTTGACATTGCATGGCCGACAGAAGACGGGGAGTTGCGAGAAGGTAGTGAGTCAGAAGCAAAATAGAGTGTACCAAGCCATGCACTGGGAAGAAGAGGAGCAAGTAGCCACCCGTGCAAAACGCGGTCAAGCAAAGCTACGTCAAGCTTAAGTTCAGCTGGTCAAGGTGCAGTCAGGTCGCATAAATTTCAAGCCGGCATATCAGTGGCAGGATCGCCGAAGACAAGCACTTCGAGAACGCCACACTTCTCGTGATCGTGGTTAATGCCTTGTGGATGTTTGTCGAGACTCGGTGGCCAAGGCTTACACTTGCCGGTCACGAGCAAAGAGAGTGAAAGCTTCTGCGCCTCCCTGTATCCGGTCTGTATCTCTTTGGCGTTCTTTGCTTATCTCATCCTTCTTGGCTATGGCTTCAGCCTGAGGCTGTGGGCCTTTTTGGGGAGCATGGCTGTTGCCCTTTTGTGGTCTCTCGCTCTCGCTCTCTGTTTGTTATCGTCTGACCATGAGTCGGATGGACTCATGCTGCGAGATATATCGATCGACGACATACGATTCAAATCCAGCAAACAGGAATAGAGCGCAGAGAGGCCAGAGATGGGCAAACTGGACTGAGGATGTAGAGTGGAACCATGTCACCTTGATGGTGAACGGCAAGCTGCCTCTGGAACCTGTCAGCACCGTCGTGGAGAACTGCTTTTGTTGTCACCTGGTGCCACTGGATCCCCCAGTCGCAGTTTCGAGCATCCTGCGGCATGGCATGCTGAGACAGAGCTCAGGCTACTTCAGTCTTGAAATTTTTATTCGTTTCTTCGGAGCGAAGACCTGGTGCTCCTGCTGCATCTCGGTGGCAGCAGACTAGCGACGTGAGAAGCGCAGTTACAGTTCACCCGCCCGAAAGATGACAGGCAAAGATCTGTGGTTTCTCTTCGATCTGACCCTTGTGCCTTGGCGTCTGTAGGCTTGCCTGGCTTGCCTTAGTTGCCATGGCCAGTGGTTCAGAAGTCGCATGGGCTCGGGCGTCCTCAAGCTCTCTACTATTGTAGCTTCGCTCGTCCCCGTCTAAAGCAGACCTACCACACCACTACGCCCCCTGCGAGGTGATCCTGATGGTTCTGGAGACCTGGGTGCTGCCGCTGGTGGCTCTTGCCACAGGAGGCCTTTGAAACCAGGTTTCACGTGATTCTCCATGCCAAGGATTCTTTTCTGGAGTTCTGGGCTTCTGTTTGGAGTGCAGGTGGGCCAGACATCTCGGGCCTCTCAAGCCTGCGACTTCTGCGCCTGCTCCGCTTGACACGCCTCCTGGCAGGAGTCGATCAAAGTTTCAGCAAACTTCAGGTTTCGCTTATGATGTGCACGTACACACGTTTACACGCGCAGATTGTCTGCGAATTCATGCTGTGAAATGCGATGCTATGCTGGCCTACGCTGTGAACGGTTATTCCTGCGCTGCACCATCCCGTACTGTCCTGTACTGTCAAAAAGGTAAGGTAAGGTAAGGTGGCTGATTTATGCATGCATGGACGCATGGATGGATGCATTCCTCTGTGTGTGTGTGTGTGCGTATGTACATACATACACACATGTCTAGTCATATCTCATCGATGTATGCGAGCTGCAGTGCGCGTTTGGCTGCGTCCTCAGGCATGGTGCGGGCCTCGTCGGATTGGATGGGAGATGCCAGAGCGAGAGGGAGAGGGCCTTCACGCGCTTGTTCTTGCAGGTGCGCTTCATGCGCTTCTTCCCTGAGCTCCTGACACTGGTGCGAGGCATGGCAAGAGCCATGCAGCCGCTCGGCTCAGAGCAGTGTCAGCGCGTGGCGTTGGGCTTGGGAGGGTATCTAGGAATCTAGGCAGGGCGAGGAAAGGGAACCGGTAAAACCGGCTGAAACATCCTTGTTCTTCCAGGTCGGTGGCCTGGGTGCTGCTGTTCCTCTTGATCGTCACCTACATCTTCGCTCCCTGGACACAAGTTGTCAAAGGCTTCAGGAGTTTTGCTCTGCTCTCTCCCAGGCCATCGTCTTCACCAGTCAGCTGGGTACGCCGAATTACCAAAGACCGCCGGAACTCGTCGACGCCGAGGATCCCTTAGTTGCGCACTCAACTGCAGTCCCGAATCCGAAGCCCTAACCTAAGCCGTAAGCCTGTGGGCTCTAAACACGGAATGGGCTTCCAAGGCCCCGGAGCTCTTCAGCGACATGTTCTCGGGCATGATGTCGCTCTTCACGCACGGGATTCTGGGTGCCTCCCCGGCCAATCTCTTGTGCCCTCCAGTGGCAAGGGTTGACTTTCAGCCTCACAGGTGACAATCTCCACTTTTTCTTAGTCACCATCCGGGAGGACTAGCTGACTAGCTCCAAAGGCATCTCCGTGTTCGTGCTGGAGAGTGGAACCGTGCCATTTGTTCAGGAGAGCGTTGCACTAATGTGGTTGGCTATCGTCTTCCTCGTGCTGCCACTTGGCCTATAGAGGTTGGCATTGGATCTTGGTCCGCCTTTCCTTTTGAAGCTTCTTACCCAGGTGTGGCATCAGCTTGCTGAACATGCTGATTGGAATCCTCTGCCAGGCACCAGCTCGCCTTAGCTGCCGCACCAGAACCAAAGCATGTTCTGTTGCGGGATAGATCTTGTCCAGGTGATTGCTGACAGAGACTTGCTTGCGCAGTTAGTTGCCGTAGACCACACCCCCTCCTCCGACCTGAAGTTTTGAGATTTTGATGCAAAGGCTCGGAAGAAGAGGAAAAGGCACGAGAACGAGCTGACCTTGACAGATTGCTGAGGAGCCTCTTCGAGGTGCGCCTGCCGGTTAGATCGAGGTTCTGTGACAGCTGGTGGAGGGTGGCCATACAAGGGAATCTACGCGTTGCTGTATTGCTGCTTTCGTCATCCGTCCAGGGTATCATGAGGCCTCCTGTTCAACAACCGGAATCGGTGAATCGGCTCAATGCACCTTTACCTCAGACTTTCAGGTTTGCAAGTTGTGTCCGCTCTGCGTGATTTAATGCCATGTCCAGTTTAACATTAGTTCTCACCGTAACACTATACACAATACTCCCCCCCTGAACCGAAAGTTGGTTGTATAATACAGGAGAAGCAGTAGAAATAAGTTTTCTCGACCACAACCTCCAGATCCCAGTGCGATTGTACAGTTGTGCAGCTTGGTTTGGGAGGTGGATGTTTAAGCCGAGTGCCGCTAACACTGGCGTGGCACCTCAACTTTCAAACCCAAGATCTGTTGGAATAGCTGGACGACAGCAATTTGTTTTGCAGCAGTGTTGCAGGCCGCAGACCGGAATGGAGATGGCAGGATCGCAGAAGAGGACCCGACTTTGATGCTGACTCCTCAATACTAAATCCGTTAGTCAGCTCATGCCTAAAGGTTCGAACATGTTTAAGCGGTGTTTGAGCGATGCGTCTTGGAGCATGGGATTGGTGCAAGAGACTGGCAGCATTAGACGTAAGCGGATGGTCAGGCTAGGTTCGCAAACCGACGTCCGCGAACTTCTCCTGCGAGCTTGCTGCGCTTTGCAACGCCCTGCTACAGGAATGGGCGAGGGTCGCAAAGAGCAGGCGGTGCCTGCAGTTGCTGGAGAGGCAGAAGTGGCGTAAGTTGAACGAGTTGGTGGGGTAGCACAGCTAACCGGAGGCTTTTGAGCGCAAGCTCTGACCGGACTACAGGGCTGTAAAAAGAACAGCGGTTGAAAATGCACAGTCCTCCAGCCTTTTGGCCTTCGTTGCTCATGTCCCCGTGGTTTGAGATTGCAGGCCCAGAAGCTGGAAACGGTAAGCTATGCCTCGAAACTCTGAGCTACTGCGTTGGGATAGTACAGCTTTTTGCGCAGTTGCAACAGGTCATGTGTTGTGGCAGGTGCCGCGAATTCCAAGTTGCCGTCGGGGTTCGTGCGGCATGGCAGTACGTACACGCACTAGACGTCGTGTTGATGCTCCGATTTAACTTATTTCGTGCTTGTTCGTTTGCTCCTGCTTGCCTTATGCTTGCATGTTTGACACACCTAGATGTATGTCGTTAACTTACTTTACTGCTTGCGTGACGAGTGCAGGCCTTTATGATCACATGTGGGGTCCTTTTCTGTTCTTGGGTGATTTGGGGAGCCTGCCCGACGATTGAAAGGCTCCAAGTCGATGCTCGCAAGCCCGTGGCGGAGCGCCTTGCAGAGCTGCAGGCGACGATCTTTAGAGGCCGGTTATCGGGGCCTCACGGGTGCTGATTCTGATGGTGGTGGTGCTCGACTCTTAAGAGTGGAACAGTGACAACAGTCATCGGTCGAATCAAGCTCGCAGCAGAAACAGGACCAATGATCTGGACATTTGCGCAAAAGGCAGGAAACATAGCCCTAGATTTCTATCCGACTCGTGGCCGCGCAGAGCCGGCGACCTGTGGCGAGGTGATCATAGTCAGCCATCATTGCCCGCCAAATCAACAAACTCGGCGTTCCTGCTGACACCCAGTGCCATTAACATGTTGATAGTGATATGAACATCAGCGACGGATCATCATGAATGAATTGGTGTGCACTTCGGACTCTTACAGATTCCCAAAGAAGCGCAAGAGCTGGGACTGAGCCTCGATGATGATGATGATGATCATGATGAGGATTTCGCATCGAGGCTGATGACGTCGCTTTGCATTTGCTTCGTTCCTGTGCTCGGACTTGTGGGGTGGGGGTAAAATTGGGGCAAGGGGTGGGGTTGAGCAAGGGGTGAGGGGGGAAAAGTCAAAGAAAGCAATGAAGCACGCCGAAAGAGACAGTGACGCGACTGGACTTTAGATATCCCTGTTTTGCATGAAAAAAATATTGTATTATCCTATGGGCCTCAAGAGGACGCATCGCGGGGATGATTTTTTTGGGTGCTGGCATTGATCCATGATGGGGTAGTTCTATCACAAGACAGGTTGAATTCAAGAATTCGTTCTCAACGAAGGACTGTTCGCACTGTCTGCAGTTTGTGGGCTTCACGTTTTCTGGGTCTAGCCTGCTCCTTGGCTTGGCGATGAGGTGCTGCAGATGATGATGACGAGGATACCAATGCAGCTCAACTGCATGCGTCAGGCGTCTTGCGCCCTTTGGGTCAGAATCCCCGGACAGTGGCATCCGCCATGATTCAATGATGTCTACTGTCCAGTCTTACTGCAGCAATTATCTCCTCGATGCTGACCGAACTGGGCACCGGGCAAATCTACGTAATACAGAGGTAAGAGACGGCAGGCTCCACGTCGTTTTCAGTCTCTATGAAGCCACGCAAGAAAAGCCACGCTGAGGCCGAAGCTGAGCGCCATCGGGTCTTCCTCGACTTCGACCAGTTCCAAAGCCAGGCCGACCATGGCGAAACTCTACGAGAAGCCCCGGTTCGGCCGGTTCGGGCTTGGCTTCTTGTTGGAGCCGTCAGAACGGTAGCAGAGGTCTTGGATCTTCGGAAAGACGCGGAGATCGGTCACTTCGACCTCCGGAGGCTTGAGATCAAGGTGACGGAAAAGGAGGGGTGAGCAAGAGCCATAAACTCATAAAGGATGAGATTGGACTTGCAGGCATTGCAGGCTTGCAGGTGCCGAACGCTTGTTCTCGAAAACTCTGGCGTCGGGCTTCCAGGACCAGCTCCTGAAGACGAGGCTGGCGAAGCTTCAAGCGGATCTCCGCCACGTCCTGGACGTCCCGGCGAACGCCCCGATCCCCGCAGGACAGCCGATCCATCGTTTAGAGCTTCTGCCAGATTCTTGAACAAGAGCAGGCAGGACGAGCCAAAAGCGACCATCATGCAAATTCCCACCATCCTCATCCTCATTGTAGTTGTCAGAACCAGTGCCAGCTGATTCGGCTGAAGCAGCCTGGCCCCCTCTGGTTTGGCAAGTTTCCGTGCCGTTATCACAACAACCGTGATCGCGATGGTCTGTCTCGATTTCTTTGCATTCACAAAAGACGGCCGTGCCTTTAAACTTGCTGAGGGCATGTTGCGCAGAACCATGAGCACCGGACACCTATGGCCTACGGAAAGAAACATCAAGACTCATGACACGTCTCCGAAGCACGCCAACCAACCTGACCAGACTCTGGGATCCAATTGCCGCATCCACATCGACAGGCCTCAGGGTTAAACTAAGTACCCTCCACTTAATCCCTGGGCCTGGAAACTTTCACCTTCGCCGAGTCGGCCCGTCCTCTGAGTCGCTGAGAGCCGTGGCTTGAAAGGATCCGAGGTAGGGAAGCTGCTGGTGGAGGACGTCGAGGAGCGGAGCACAGGGCGCTTTTTCATGGGAACACCATTCCTGTGGACAAACCTTTCCTCCACATCCTGGTCCCAGGAGCTGCCTCCTCCTCTTCCGGAGAGGCCACGCACACCGGCCATGCCCGCGGGCACGCCGGAGTCTGGGATGGGCTTCTGTGTGACGGCGCGCGCGCTACCTGAAAACTCAGAGCTCAGGCAGCCCGTGCTTCCGGGGCAGCTGGAGGTCGTGGATTTTGACGAGGCCCAGGCCAAGCTGTTGAAGGGACGCTGCCGCGAAAGGAGGCTCCTCAGCCCCAAGCAGGTTCCCGAAACCAGTCCTGAGTCGCCTGCAGCCGGGTCTGCGTCCGGCAAAGACTGGCTTCGGGAGGTGCGGCCCTGAGGGCACCTCTGTGGCACATGCTCCTCTCTCCTCTGCGTTCCGCCTTGCAGGTGCCTACGGCACTTCTCATCGACACATTGCAGTCACGCGTCCAGGGCCCCAGAAGAGTCGTGACAGGTGACAGGTATTCGGAAGCTTTACCCAGCTCCGCAGCTCAGGCCACCAACTTTTGGCGGCTTTAGTTTCGCCGTAGCCACTACATCGGAGTATTGTCACAGTCATGGGCCCGAAAACCGGGGCCGTGGATTGAACGTTTCGATGACAAAAGCATCGCTGAGTTTTGAAGGGCAGCCCCTCGAATGAGGGAAGGAACCCATCCAAATGAGCACGTTCGATGTGACCACATTGGCCAAGTGATAAAGGGTGCTATAGAGCGTTACAGACTTTACATCCTTCGCTTTGTGCTGACCCTGCGTTCTGTGAGGCAGAACTTTTGCGGATTTTTCAGTCAGGTGCGTGTAGAGGAGGAGGATACCGACGAGCTAGCTCTGTACAAGATGATGCGCGAAGCCGGGGACCCTGAGACCCGATATCGCTGCACTGGAGCTTGAATCGAATCAGAGCCTGCAGACACCAACGTGTCACCGAGCATTGAAAAGTGCGTTGCAAGATGAATGCCGGTGGATAGAATGAAGCTCAGGCTCTGATCTACTTGACCCATCTGGACTCCAGCCACATGGCTCCTTGCCGAGCCTTTTGCAGCGCAGCAGAGCACGGGAGAGCTCAGAGCTCAGAGCTGTAAGGAGCGCATCGTGCTACAACGAGTGGCGCAGGCAGGGACCTGGCCGAAGCCCACCAAAAAAGCCTCTGCCACCTCGCCTGCCTCTTGCTGGCTCGACAGGAGTGTTTGGAGAGGCAAGACATGGAGAAGTGGATCCCCACGAACCTGAACCGCTTATGCTATGCCATCGGCTCCATCAGCGGTGCCATGCAGGCACGCGGCCATTCCTACTAGCCTACATATACATGTAGGTGGGTGTGTGAGCAGCCAGGTATTTTTATGTATGCTTTCATGGGTGGATGGATTGCGTGGGGGTGGGTGGATTGATGCATGGATGCATGGATTGATACGTATATGATATCCGTATATGTTATATATGTGCATACGTAGGCAGGTGGTGGTGTACGTAGGGATGTATGTACGTATGTATGCACTCAGCTGTAATGGGTCCGCACAAGTCTCACGTTTAGCCCGCCTTCCTTTGACCCTGAAAGCATTCTCTCCATCCGAAGATGTTTTGGCCCGTCCTCGGTCAGGAAGTGGATGAGAAAAGATTCGTGGTCTCAGCGACTTGCTTGACATACATGTGGCCAAGTGGACATGCCCAGCCCTCCCTGCAGCGGGTGCTACTGGTGAGGATTGCACAGGAGCTGCGACGGGTATTCTCGCAGTCGTTGTAGTCGCAGCAGTCGTAGTCATAGTCGGCGCTGCAGCACTACCAGAAGCAGCCGCAGCGCCGACAAGGCAAAGACTTTCCAGCGACCATCGGACCGTTTGAGTGCTCCTAATCCTACGTCCTACGTTGTCACAGAGCCACAGCTTACAAAAGGTGTGCAGCTAGTGCCGCACCCTTTTGCCAACGAAAGTGGCTCCCGTCTGGTGGCACTGCTTAGGGCCTGGTCCATTTTGCACCAGAGTTGCCGGTGCTAGGATTTAAGTGTGACGTTCTCTTAGGCTGTGCTGCTTGAGGCGGCACCAGTAGGTCAGTAGGTAGATCAGGTAGCTTGCGTTCTCGTGCTTCACAGGATTGAGTTTGGGTCTTGGGATGAAGTTTTGATGTTGGAGGCTGAATTGTTGAGTGTTTTGGGTCATGCTGGACAGTGAGAGTATTTGACTGATTTCGCTTCGATGCCGACTTCGAACCATGCAGCGCTGTCTCACGAGTCCGAGTGCGACAGCGCATCGACACAAGGGTATATGAATAAACGCACCACGGCGCCCATCATTCAGATTCACTAGCAAACTAAGAGTAAATGACGACGATGGAAAGAAGCAAGTGCAAGACCACAGTAGCGCAAGCAGCCGCCAAATCACATCAGTACAGACACCAGCAGCAGCGGCGACGACAAGCATTCGTAGCAATGCCACCTGTAGCAAGGATCGCCATAACACTGGCGACAATGAGTGCAGGAGCAAGCCTAGCGTCGGCCTAGCAGCAACCAGAAGGAAGAGGAGGATCGGGGCTTTGCGGCGACGGTTGTCAAACTAGTCTTCGAGGTCGCCATCGTGCCGTCGCATGATGGCTCGCAAGCGAAGCAATACGGTATGCAACTGAAACGAAGTAGATGTAGAAGATGCGAGCCTTAAATTCAAGTCGAGCGAAAAGCACATGTTCCAAGCTTGCTGATGGTGGCAGTTTCCAGTTGCAAGGTAATCAAGGACCTGCTGAGCCTTTGTGACATGAAGAAGGGGAAGGAGAGCCATGCTGGGCAACTTCTGGAAGATGATAATTTTAGTAGGAGATGCAAGCAGGGGCGCACTGCAGGAAAACAAAGCTGCAGTGGCGAGCAACGTCATGCATCTTGGCCGTCGTTGTGTAGAAGAAAAAGGGCACTGCTTGCCGAGTAGGGTTCGGCTCAGGTACGTGGTGGGCCAGTACCCACGGTTCCTGCGGGCGCATTGGAAGTTTCTGAAAACTGTACCTTGCTCGCAAGCGGCCAGTGAGTAGGGAGTGAGCGATGTAGCACGTTGACAGATCAGATCGGTCTGAAACGTCACCGGAGCCAATTTACCGTGAATTGGTGGCTTTGTCTTGCCTTGCCTGCCAGCATGCCGTTTTGCTGGCGATGCCAAAGTCGAGCGGAAGCGATCAAAAGCAAGAATTTGACACAGACTATGTCGAGAGGTGGTCTTCAAGCTCTTCGAGTTCATGCACGAGACCTTTCCCGGGGTCCAGCCGTTTGGCCGAAGCTGCGTTTGTGAATTTGTGAAGCCCATGTTTCGCACACGTCAATCGGAAAACGGCTTCAGGCAGATGGCAGTCGACACTTTCCTGCGGATCTGCCAGAAGTGCAAGAAGAAGTTCATCACCCAGCAGGCACCACCTTTTGAAGAATCCCGTCGCGAAGTCAGCCGATGCGCAGATCAGTGTGTCATGTGTTCAAATTCGCAGAACAACGAGCCCGCGCCCTTCATCGAGACCATGCCAAGTCACATCGCTCAGGACAGTTGAGGCTGATCTTGTGCCCTTGGAAATCATCTTGGTTTAGCATCCTGCGGCAATTACAAGACCGAATGTGGGCAGGATATATCAGAATTGGAGCCTTTGCAAATCTGCAACTTGGTCTGCAATGTTCCGTTCGAGAGATATTCGGAGCCTGGCCTATTCTGAGGCACTTTCTTCGAGGCTGTGGGGCACATGATCAGCGCTGCCTCGTCGGACCAGAAGGCGAGGCAAAGGTTTTTCTCTCCTGCGCGAGCTCTGAAAAACTTGTCCTGCAGGTTCGCTTGATTGCACTCCTCATGGGCCTGTGCCCTAGCGACTGTGTCTTCGGTCATGAGCAGCCGAGCCGACAACTCGTCCTGGCACGGTGGCTGAGGCCTCTTCAATGATAAATGGGCTGGCATCCTGAGAGGACCTGTTGCAGCAAGCTTTTAGCTCCCACGATGTGTTTGAAGAAGGACTTTCTGCCACTGGGTCCTTGGAAGCCTTCGTGCAGAACCAACAGGCAGGCACGGAGCGGCTCCGGTGCGTTCCGCCCCAGCTCTAGTCGGGCTATTCGGGTCATCACGTGCCGCCGCAGTTCGTTGCAGGTCTTGCGGCAGATCTCTTTGATCCTCCGGGTGAACGAGCGCATGGTCGTCGCCATCGGCACGGCGTGTCACGCGCAGCTGGCAGGTGCCCAGCGGTGCAGCCTCGGGCAGTCCTCTTTTGTCAATATGCATCGTGCAGGCATCTACGGCGACATGCTCAAGATCTACAAGGCTCCTGTGTCTTCGACGATGTTTCTGGCTGCTCTGGCTCGATGAAGGTCTGCAGCGATTTCATCTCCCACAGCACCGCACAACAAGGAGCGCAAGTCATGAACCTGGCAAATGCCCGGAGCTTTGGCTTCGAAGCCTCAAGGCCGTGTTTGGGCAATGCTTTTTGAATCTTTCATCCCAGGTGAAACTGCTGCGGAATGTGAAGCGCTTCGTGGCCGCACTGGGCACCTGCGGCACAGGGATCACAGAGCCAAGTGGGAGCTGGAGCAGGTGACACGCTGCGGCTGGTCCGCTCCTTCGTGGATGCAGCTACCCCGCAGGGTGCTGCAGAGGTGCGGTTGACACCTGCGCAGTGCGGCTTCCCGGAGAGTTCCGAGAAGACTCGAAAAAAGACTGCATCAGCTAAAGCATCCAAAGCCGAGGATTGCACAACGCTTTGTCCCGCCGCTGCTGGAGCCGACCTGTGAAGAGCAATTAAAGTACAAGTGCAAGTAGTAGCAGCACTGGCTGTAAGGCTTTCAGCAATCCTTGTCCTTCTTGTTCAATTGCTCTGCAGGAGCCGGTTCTGGCAGACTACCGCAGTAACATGCCACAGGTTCGATGGTCATCACAAAGTCTCCTTTGATATTGGATGCTTCTTCGAGCACGGGAGGCACGCGACGCGGAAGTCTTGGCGACTTGGCGCGCGTTTTGACGTGAATCGTTCTTTGGGCCTCGCGCAGCTTGTGTAAAGCCCAGGATCTGCTCACCGTCCTGGCGACAAGGATACACGAGTCTCGTCAGAGAATCAGTATCAGCTCGGGATCGAGGTCCCCGAGAGACGAACTGTAACAGTAGAGATTCGGATGCCAGATGTGCTGATTGTCGCGCGGGGCTGGACAATGCGAGTGCAGGCATGTGCTAGCGCTGATTCACTCCGCTCTCTGGTGTGTTTGTGCCATCTGAGGACTCCATCTCACAGGAGGCTTCGGGCTCGGATCGGCAAAAAATCATTGAATTCAGATAGACTTCGGGGAAACGTCCTTCAACCGTCAGAGGTCGGCCGGATCTTCGAGATGGTGCTGGAGTGCACGCGCACCTCTCAGGGCAGAAGTCGTACTTTGTCCACCGTGCCAGGATGACATCAAGAGAGGGCGGACGCACGTCAGTTTCGTGCCGGCCCGTCTTTCTGCCGTGCGAGGTGTGACATGATCAAAGGCGACTTCCAAAGCTATCCGGATCACAGGACCGTGTGCGGCTGTTCGTTTGTGAGCTTCCAAGAACCGTCGGGTCGTGGCGTCGCCATGGGGATGCTCGCAGGGTGAAGTTCTACGACTTGCTGAAGGCAATCAATGCGAATTGCTTCCAGGCAGGTTTGCACCGGTTCACCGTCCCGAGCGGAGGAGGCAGAGGGTCGAGGGCTTCATAAATTTCTCGCAGGCCCTGTTCTACTTGCCGGAGGCCCAGCTCATCCTCTTCGTGGCGCGAGCCTCGAGCTGGGCCGCAGGCTCTGTCCGTCTCTGTCCTTCGTGTCCCTCCTTGGCTCAGAGGACTCCCTGATTTGGGCGATGAAGCACGAGCAGCCACAGGTGGCCGACAGCGGCCTCCAGGCCCAACAGAGAGATGTTGCAGATGCCCTGCGCCGTTGTGCGCGCGCGCGCAAGCGCAACAGGGCGACAGCGTGCGCAGGTCCTCTCCCAGTTCTTGGAGCGACTCTTGAGTGGTCCAAGCAGCATCTATGCAGCGCCCCTGACGCCCGCAATTACAGTAGGGCTGGCTGGACTTGGCACTTGTGAGCCCTGGTGAGTCCTTGAAGCCGAAGGTCCCCTTCTTCAAGCAATACTATTTCCTGATCCTGCAAGCCGCCTGGGACTTAGACATCCTGGATGCTTCAACTTTGGGTCCTGCTCGGCTTGCTGCCGTGAGGTAATCGGTGTTCTCACCGACACTTCCCACAAGAGTGGCTTCAAGCTGCAGCAGCACATCTTACTGTTCCGCAGCAGCAAGAAAGAAGATCATGTTCTTAGGATGAGGTTGGAGCGAAACCGTCGACTAGCAGGCAACTCATCGTTGCGGCTGAGAATCAGATGCTCAGTGACGCAGCACCAAAGCAACGTGTGATGGAGCTGCTTGGCCAAACTAGCGGCCGCTGGCAGACCAGTGCAGCACATCAGCACATCGGTATTATTCAATTCGCCGCGCACGAGGTTCCTGTTCGAGCTGATCGGCAAGCTGAAGCCCCAACTGTCTTGCAGATGCATTCAGCTATGACTATGAGCTGTCATGCGCATGAGGTCTTTCCCGACGCTGAATAAGAGCCAGGCCCGGTTCGAGCTGCTCTTCCGTTCTTCCGTGTGCGTGGTTGAAGACGTAGAAAAAATGGGGGTTACATGTAGGCGGAGATCTTCGTGCTGCATTGCTTCAACAAGTCGCGGCAGCCCGTTGAGCCCGGGCCGTTTCCTCTGAGAGCGAAGCATTGGTGAACTCATGGCTTTCTGAGGTTCCAGCAGCACATACGTGACTTCCTGATCCAGCTGAAGGTGCATACCATTGCGCATCACATAGCTGATCCCTGACCCGACATTCCTACATGTGCCGGTGTACCACTACAGTCAAAATTCAGCACTGACGTAGCTGGCGTGCTGCGATCACAATCATGCTGTGACTCGTAATTAGCATCTCTGACTTTGAGAAGATTGGTGGCGAGGGCGTCCTTGTTTGATATTTCTGTTCAACAGTTTCTACTTACGGTTTTCGCCGTTCCGGCTTAGTTTAGAGAGTGCTTCCTCTTTCCCTGGCAATTGCAGCTGCTTGTTCTTGCCTGTGCCTGTCTTGACCGCTGACGTTTGCTTCCGGCAACCCCGCTTCAACTCTCTGCCTATGTTGATTTGCCTGCTTGTGCCCTGCGGTGAAGCCACGCCCATATTCAGCAGGGTGCTTTCTGGCCCTCCGGGTCAGGCTAAGACGTTGAATGTAGAGAGCAGGGGCCCTGGGCAATGAACGCAGAAGACGTGCGATAAGTATTTGTTCAACGTGCGAAGTAGAACTGGGATGGAGACGATGCACTCAGGCTTGTGGTGATTGAGTGATGCACCAACATGTAAGGGGTCATTGGCCCGGGCATGCAGGCCGACAATGGTGGCAAATCCAGCGCTCACACCATGTCGGCAGTAACGTTCACTGACTTGGTGTTTTCTGCCCTGCTCCGTTCCAGCTTGTTTGTTCACTGAGCTTTGGGGGTTGTTTGCGAACTCCGTCCATTCGTCTCCGAGCACCTTTCAACTGGGTGAGGCGAAATGCGTCCCCTTTTGTGTTGCCATCCCGATGTTTGTTTCGCAACGTTTGGCTACAAAGGCTTGGGCAAGTGTCGGTCTTCCTCCATTGGGTGAAAGGATCTTCGGCGTGTTTAAGGGTCAGGCTGGGTGGATCTGCACACACAGACTGGAATGGGCCAGCCGCTGCCGCTGCTAGGAGTGGGGCAGCCACGAGTCAGCGCTGTACGAGGAGGGTTTGCTGCCTTGTTGGGCCCTGATCGAGTGAAGCGCTTGGTCGCGCCAGGTAGAGCGACAATCGGCACAGGACGAGCAGCAGCAGCGGGAGCGTCAGTTGCGGATGCAGGCCCACGGCATGGATGTCAACTTGATTGTGACCTAGTCACAGTTCTTCGCCGTTTTGGGCTTCAGAACAAGAGACCATGACAAAGCCACAAAGGCATCCGAATCACGTCATGCCACTTTGCTCGGAACCATCAGCAGGAGGAACCCATTACTTGCCCTTAGTATGTGATACCAACGACTCTAAGCCTGTCAGTCACTTCAGGTTCAGACAGGGCAAGGAAGAGGTACGTAGGATTTGGAGTTGATTCCCATGAAAGTTGCCATGGATCACCTTCGCAGACAGTGGAAGAAAGTCCTTCAGGCACGACATGGAATTGGGGTTGTCCTTTCCTTTCCAACAGCACACTCGGCAGATACGCCACTTGCCGCCCGAGCACGCTCAGTGCCCCTGTTTGTCAGCTCTCGAATGCAGCATGCGGGAAACCTCTGCAATGCCAAGCAGGGCTTGAAATTGGGTAGCTAGCATTCCAGATGCTTCGAGTTTCGAGGTACTTTTTGACGTATCTGGCACAAGGAATCAGCCGGGTCGGCAAGGACTACTTGAAGAGTCCCTTGTTGGCAGACGGAGGAACTCGACGAGTCTCAGTGCCCAAGCATCCTTCGTTCTGAGGTTCGGCAGCACAGCTTCTCAGCATGCGCCAGCTCCAGCTCTTCAGCAACCTGCTGCCCGAGTTCGGCGGGCATCTCAGTCCCACCAGAGGCCCCGAAGCCCCATCCGTGGCCTTTTTCATTCGAGGAAGCCTTCCTTGGGCGCTGAAGCCGATCCTCGTGAGACGCGGTCGCAATATAAAGGGCTTCGGTGTGCGAGATGAGGCGCCCGCCGTCAGGGTGCCCTCTCCTTGCGATGGCCAGGCTGGCCATCGAACGGACCGCCCAGGCAACGCGCCAGCGGGCGCCCCCCGTCTCTTTTGATGGACTGTGCGCTCTTGTGCGAGTTCGTACATTGTACAGTGGGTTTGGGAGCCCCCCTTCTTGAAGTTGTTTTGTTTTATCCAAGGCTGGTGATGGCTTTGGTTGTGACAGCCCTGCCATGGCTCGGCCTGGGCTTCCTTGGCCCTTCGGTGGATCCCACAATGCTGCTTCTTTCCACTGGCCTCGCATCGCTTGGGTCGGCTGTCCCTCAGCCCTCACAGGGAAGAGCAAGGGCAGCAAGGAAGCGGCTCATCATCGGAACATCAGCATTCGCATCGGCGACAGCACTCAGGTAGCGGATGGGCTCACGGACGGCCTGCTGGCGGCCGAATCCACGGAGGCCTCTGCGGCCGCGCTGCAGCATCCCGTCCCGAACAGAAGAAAGCGCTCCCCAGCTCGGTGCAGATAGTCCCGCAGATGAGGTCCCTCTGCCAGACAGGGCATAGCATTGGTGCCGCATGGCCTGAGACAACATCGCCACTAGAATCACGCTGCTTTTTGGGAAGCCTTAATACCGAAGGCTTTTGCGGTTGGCTTGGCAGCTTGGGCCTTCAAGCTTCCGAAGCTTGGCAGACTCTTACGTAAGTCTTAGAAGCCTTATAAGTTGACTCTTGCGTCGGTTTAAAGGGCCTGGCCTTGCTTGCAAGGAGCAGCCTTTCCTTGATGTTGACTGCAGCCGCCTGGGCATCGATTCTCTGCACGCTCCGGACTCGTCTGAGGCTTGGCGAAGGGGTGCGGGTCCGCCCCAATTCGAATGAAAGGAGTCTTAACAAAAAACGGCCATGTGGTGCCCAGTTTGAGGCCCCGAGCTTCAATCGGCCTCGGGCTCTGGAGCTCCGGCCTTCTCTTGGCGAGAGTTGGCTCAGCCCAATGTGTTGCTGGTCGCTGCCTTGGGCTTCTTCGTCTGCTTGGCTCCTGCTGCTGCCAGGGTCCCAGGATGTCCCAGGTTCCCGGAGCGGCTGGTGCTTCTGCTTCAGCCATGGTGCCACACATGCATCCGCGAACTCAGGACACCTTCCTTTTCCGCCAGTTCGTGCTGGGCTTGAGAAGCTCACAGCAACCCCTCGTGTCCATTGCTGGGACAGCCTCGCGACTGACAAGTTGGCTTCAAGCTGAAACTCTTGAGTGAATTTGCATGAGGTTGGATGGTTTGTCGGCACCTTCGCTTTTCGGGAGATTGCTCGTGGTCGCACCGCTACAGGCCCGTGCCATCTAGCTGACATTCGAGCGAATGGTCATGGTTTGCAGAGGCGGCCTGCGCCTTTCCCTTCTGCTCTGGACGTTGCCACTTCTAGCGAAGGCAGCCTGGGTGGTGCTCGAAGGTTGCGCAGATGCTTGTTGCTTACGCACAGAGGTGCTGCTCCTGGCTGTAGATGAGACGATGGCGTTTCCGGCGGCCATGCTTGAGAATCCCAGCAGCTGATGGCAGACATCGCGTTCCACTGAAGACGGCAGTGTCGAAGCACGAAGCCAAGGAACGCCGCAAGCGAGCGGCTTGGTTCATTGGTCTATCTTTACATGAGGCAGAAACCTTTAGAACTTTAGCTGCAAGTGCGCGTGGTCGCACGGGATCGAAAGATAAGGTTTGGCAAGGCCTTGACATTCATGCCGACCACGATCCTGCAGCAGCTCCATGCGACAAAGGGCTGCGAGGGTACAGCTTTCACATTGATGCAGAGCCTCATCCGCAGAAGTTGAAAGAGAAGCGTTCTGCATGCACACAACCCAAGTTGCGAGGAGTGGCGGCACCCTGGGAATCATGGCAGCAAACCTCCAAGGCAAAGTAAGTCAATCTTTGTGCGCCTATGTCCTATGTATGTCATGAGCGGGTTCGAAATGCTGTCGTGTTTGGGTCGCCACACTGCTGAGCATGGTCCTCGTGACCAGGAATGGTGCTGGGACGGAACTTAGAATGGTGGCTGCTGTTGTGGTGTGGAATCGATGCAACGAAAGGCCCCTGCATTGTGCCTAAGTTGTCACGAAATGTCTCGAGGGACTCAAAAGCAGTTGACCAAAACGAAAACGATTCTTTCAAGGCGCTGCCGGCTTCTCGCGGTTCTCGCACATCCTCGCTTTGGCTGCTCTGTGGCGTGTAGTGACTGCGGCAGCCTTGCTTCGGATGTTAATCCCTCCGCTGGACTCGAAGCACCCGCGGGAGAAGCAAAATGATGCAGCGCAGCACAGTCGGCGAAAATACTCAACTCCCCTCAGCCGCAGCACCTGAAACTCTTCGCCCAAGCTTGTTTCGGAAGAGCTCGGCATGAGCAGTCTCGGCACTGGGCAGTGCAGCTTTCAGTGCTGCTTTCAGAAGATCATTCGGCCATTAGGCGGCAATGCCTCTCCTGCTCTTCCTGGAGCTCGCAATTCTTCCGAAACAGGCCTCGATTGTCTGCCGGCAATTGCAGGTTCCCGGGCTGGTTCCACAGTACGATCCCAGCCGCAACGACATGGACGATCTCTGAGGCGCCGAGGTGTTCTTGCTTTTCAGAGCTTGGGAGGTTTGGATTGCAACCGTCACTGCCCAGCGCAGGATACTGCACCTTCCTTTCTACATATCTCCCATTCGTATTACGTTGAATTACTCTGGGCTCCCGCTGAAACACCTTGGCTCCCTTTCATCGTGTTTTCCTTGGTCTCGTTGGATGACTGGTTCCGGTTCATCTTTGACGGGCAGACCAAGCAGCCTTGTCGGAGAAGGGCCTCCGAAAGACTCTAAAGCAAGCTAGTGGGTAGAGACAGTCGCCTCAGCGGCTCGGCTGGCTGCAACCTTCCAGAAGTAGCAGACAAATTGCACCTGTGCTGGACCTTTATCAGCCTTGTCGTTGCTTTTTTTGTCGTTTACTTTAATCATTGCCCAAACAGTGCAGTAACACCGTGGGGTTCTTGCATTAGGTAAGTGGTTCCGCGCATCCTGTTATTTACAGCAAATGCTGCAAATGTGGTCCCCGCGTCCTATTGCTGTTTGTTATTTACACAGGATGCTCACGGCGTACGTCTCCCCGTTTTGGAGAGCTGCATACGTTTCGCTGACATCTTGTTATTTGTGGAGGGCTCGTGTGAAGCACGCATGTCACTGTAAATTAGATACTGCGACATTGATCACTTTTGCTTCTGGAAGACGTTGCATCGCAGCAGTAGCTGAGGGAAAGGATTCGGGGGAAGGACGGACGGTGACGGACGGACGGATGCATGGATGGACGGATGGACACACAGATAAACAGAAGAGGCGCATCACGGCTGACTGCGGATCTCGCAAGCTACGGTGGACGTACACGTCGGCTGGTCCGGAAATGCACAGATACTTGGGGCCATGCAAGGTGCATCTTACTTGCCGCAAGCATGTGTACTTATCGGCTATATGAGCAATGCTTGCGGAATAAGAATACCTTGGGGTGAACTTAGGAATCAATGTTCACTTGTGTTTGTGGAGTTCTGTTTCTGTCCATGTCTTGCTGACACATGTTTTCGCACAGGCATGCATGAACTCTTGTTTCATACTGTAATTAGTGCGGCCACGTTCTGCGTTTAACAAGAACCCTGGCACGGTCTGAACCCTATATACCTCCAAAAACCAGCAAATGATTAAATAAATGCAAACCTGTGACAAATCCTCCTCAAGAAATCCTTATGCTTCTCGCAGGTATAGAACGCTCACTGTTTGGGGGTCGGCGCTGGCACAATTCCGGAGTCGGAGTGTGGGTTTTGATATCAGTGTTTTGTCGCTCCGCAGGTATCGTTGCATCATCTTTGGTTCAGGATTCGGGACCTCATTTCTCTATCTTTCTGGGAATGGCCGGAGGTTGGCGCGCAAGGACAGCTTGGAGGCATATTTGACCCTTCTTTGCCTCTCCGCCGTGTGTCGCGAAAGCAACACCGGTTGATGAGCCAATGCAGCTTTTTTCCACCCGTAAAAGTTTTGGCGCCAAGGCCCTTGCAAAAGTCCTGGCACCATGGAGAGCATGAATAAACGAATGGCAAGATAGTGATGTCAAGAACCACAAGCCCAAATGACAAAGCAACGATAGAGAATGGCAATGCAACTCATTTATAACTTCATGGTCAAGCTTGGGAAACAAAGGCCAAGAACTCTCGTAACTGTAAACTTCGCACACCTTTAAGGCTTGAGATAGGCTGGTTCGGAGGCTGGGGCAGGGGCGGAATCCAAGCAAAAGTGAGCAGCTGAATTCTAACACAGGATGTCGACGCCGAAAGCCACCCCACAGTCTTCACACAATCCCCATTTCAACTCGTAAACGCCAGGGACATGTCGACATTCTCAACCTCGCGCCCTTAGCCTCAAGTTCTCAAGTCCATCGAAATGCATCATGTCAGGCTAAGTTGAGGGCGTGTGACCGGGGCGTGCAGAAACGACATCTTTGCTCAGGCATGCAAACAACACAGATCTTCCTCGAGTCTTCCCCAACTTGATGGCCAGCGTTGCCGCACGCGGGCAAGTAGATACTTGCAACTATTCTAGATGCATGCCTTCTCGCATGCCGTAGGATGCATGGGCCCGAATTGTTCCCGATGTGTTTCGGCATTTGGATCTCTCCGGTTTAAGGCATCCGCAATCGCTCCAACACCCGCTGTATTGATGTTCGATGGCCTGATGTTACGACCTAAGACATGTGCGGCAGAGGCCCTTGAGAAACGGCACCTCTTGGTGCTCCACGCGCCGGTGAGGGGATTCAGTTTCCTGTGATCGTTGTGACTTGAAGCCGTGGCCCACGAGTCTCTGAAAAAGCCGCGTTGGTGAGCATCACACGCTTCTGCCCGACATGTTCAACTGCAGCACTGCAGACGTTTGCCGTCGGCTGTCAGTGCTTCTGGCTCCGCAGATCCAGGGGGGCTTGGGAGCCATGCCCTGGCCCTGAAAATGAAGAGATCCTTTGCGCCATGGCCATGGCCATGGGGCACGTTTGGAGTTCTTGGCCTTTCTTCGCGTTGGTGAGTGTCTGCTTGCTCACCCCGAGCATCACTGGCAATTGGGCCGCACACAGATACAGGGGAAGTGGGATGAGAGGGGCCGCACACACGCATGTCTGTATTTACTGTAAGTTCATGTTGCAGAACGTTCCCGCCCGGCCGTCGGCGTTTGGCAGAAGAAGGTGCAGAGAGAAAGAACATCGAGCATTTCAGACTGCGTGTTCGGTCGAACTCGCGAATGGTACCGCGACTGATTTCACTGATAACCAGACATGTACATGCGATTTAAGCTTCGGAGGTCCATTCTGAGAGGCCGTGAACGTCCTTGGACGAAGCTCAGGTTTTTTACAGGGGATGCGTGCATGCAGAGCTAAATGTGTCTGGCTGATTATGGCTGCATGATATAAAGCATGTATACCCGTACGTCGGTGCACACATGAGTGCACTGTATGTATGTCAGTTTGTATGTATGTTTCTGTGATTGTTAGCATGTATGTATGTATGTACGGATGGCATGATGAACTTTCGGTGTCAACACGGTCGGCACTTGTTGAAGCAACCCCATTCAGTTGAGCATCAATCAAATGTAGGGGCAGACCTACCACAGGTCATGGTGATCATCTGGTTGTTTTCGGTTTCAGAGCCCTTCAGAGCTTCGTAGTGCAATGGTTTCGGCAGGGCTTGAAACTCTGGAATAGATGCTCTTTGGACTTGATGTTCAGGGGCGAGTCCATGCAGCCGCATGCGTACACTTTTGCTGCAATGGTACATCCGGTCGAGCCTTACTGTGGCTGCAACACCTTGGATGGGCACTTTCATCGCCATGACTGTGCTCAGTTTAGGACTTTACGCTCATGCATCCGCCGGCGCAAAAACAGCAACTTCGGAACTTTACTTACGACGGAGCCCCCTGGATGCGCTGCTTCGATCTGCTGTCTTGGCGTCCTGCAAGAATCTGATGCATCCACAGCAAGGTCGCTTTTCGTGGCCCACCCAGCCTTGGCTGGAATTGGGCCTAATTTTGCCAGCGACAACTCTGCCAAACGGACTTTGCACAACGAGCACCTCAAACCTTTTCGTTTTTCTTCGTAGCGACTGTTGTACTGCGGGGCATGTTGCGTAACGCACTATTGCGCCAGGCTGGAAACGATGTCTTTCTCCTGAAGTGTTCCTACTGTTTGTTTGTGAGCAAAACAGGAAATAACTTAGCACTCAAGGAGACGTGTTGAAATATCATGAACACTTTTCCTCCAGAGAGACAGACCTGACTTTGCCAAAGCATGATTCAAGACTTGTTCTCTGGTGCGCATCAAGAGGGGGGCTGCTGTGAACTTTCAGGATTAGTTTGGCTTCGGGGTTGAGTGAGTGCTGTACTCTCATTCAAAGTCGTCCGTGTATTCCCTGACACATTGTGCTTTCGCAGAGTATGTATATATATATATACATATATATATATATAGGTATGTGCACGTGTGCAGGTGTGTATATGATAATATGTATAAATACATGTACACATTCTTTTGTCTTCTGCATTCGGGGATGTATGCGTGTGCCGACGTGTGCATGTGTGCATGCCTGCTTGCATGTATGTACGTATGTATATATGTATGTACGAGTGCATGTATGCTATTGTGCACTCGAGCCCATCAACTCATGCGTGCATAGATGTATGCCTGTATGTGTGCGTGTGCGTGCGCATGCATGTATGTACTGATGTATGTATGTTCGTATGTACATTTGTACGTATTGTACCTATGTATGCATGCATGTATGTAATGTGTTTATGCATGCATGTATGTGTATGTGGGTTATGTATGTAGTCTACATATGTACGCAGGTCGGTGGGTGGGCGTGGGGCAGGTAGGTTAGTCCGGAGGCATGTGCTGCAAGAAAGGTGGAGGTTGGCACTTGAAAGCATTCATTATACCCACATCACCTCACGTACACACATACACACATGTATGGATGATTCTGTGTGTATGTATGTATGTATATATATATATATATTATATTATACATGGTACTTACACCTGCATGATTTATATATACATACATACGAACACGCACAGATATATGTATATACACATGCTTGCAAATGTGGGTATTTGTACAGATATTGATACACGCACACAGAGTATATGTGTATATACATGCACCCATGTATGTATATACACATGCTTGCAAATGTGGGTATTTGTACAGATATTGATACATACACAGAGTATATATGTATATACATGCACCATTGGTAGCACATATGTATACGCATAGATAAGCTTACATACAAATGCATATGCACATGTACATTTGCATCTACACTTACATCGACATCTACACATGCACATACACAAGCATGTACATACAAATACACATTATACATATATCTATATAGACATACATACGTACAAATATAGTGATGTATTTGTTTGTTTGTTGGTTTAGATATGCATACAGACGTCCCTAAGCTTTTGTCCGTGCATGTGTGCGTGTGTGTATGGGTGTGGGTGTGAGTTGTGAGTTACGTGGGACGATGGAAATCTTCGGTTTTTATCAAGGGCGGATATGTCTCCCTTGGCCCCTCTCTCAGCCTGTGGGCGTGCACTGTGTACATGGGCACGTACGTTTGTGCCCAGTACAACCAAGGGCCCACGGCGTCCTTGGTTTTGTCCAGCTCTGCACTTGGCACCATTGCACCGGCGCTGGTGTGCTTCAGCCCTCAGCTCACCCAGGATTTCAGGGCCCCTGTTTCGCTACGTCCCGATCCCACTCTCTCTCTCCCTCTCCTCTCCCTCCTTATTTATTGTTATGCATGCACTCCGTTCTCTTCCTATCTTTCTCTTCCTTTCTGCAACCAGTCGATACATGTGCCTGTCTCGCCTTTTCTTCGAAAACATCTGTTTTGAGGAGGACCTCGAGGCCTTTGACGGCCAATGGGAACTGCAGATCCGCCCCTTGGAAAAAGTCGTAGCGTTGATGGCGCAACGTGCGAATCCGTGCGAACTTGTTGGCACTCTGCTGGTGATGAGGATGATGAAGATGACATTGGCGCAGGCGATGCTTGACCTGTTCTCCAAGGCTTCGCCGCCTTGCGGCCCAGGACGGTGCAGCTTCAAGAGCCCCTGGACGAGAATCCTGGCTGCAGGATGGGCCGGGGTCCCGCTTACGCGGCATAACGGCTTTTGCCGAGGCAGCCTTGTGGCGCTTGGTTCCTGGACCTGGCGGTTGAGGGTGCGGAAGGCTTGCATGGCTTTCCCGACGTCGCAGGGTGCAAATGGAATGAAAGCGTTCCAGAGATTTCTTTGCAATTGTCCGGCGAGTTCCCGACATGTCGCGGGGATGGCTGCAGCTTTCACCTGGCTTTGAACGTGGAGGTGACTGAAGCTTTTCAAAATGCCGGCGAAGTTGCACAGATTGCTGCCGTTTGCCGAGGGACCGAGAACTGCTCCATGCATGAAGGTGTCGAGGTTCTCTCGTTGCCGGTTTTCTCGACAAGAGGCACTCGAAACGCTCTGAGACCTGGCTCTTTGATCTTCGAGGATCTTCCTCGCCACCAGCGGGCAGTGCTTCTGGAAGACGACTCGGAGCTTAAAAACGTGAATCTCAGCCTAAGCCTACAGTTGCCTCCAGAGGGTCTTGATCTTCAGCCCATTCAGAACGTCTCCAGCATCCTGATACGGATGCTCCTCTTTCCTTTGAGCTCCTGGGAGGTAGCTACATGTGAGGCGAGCATCGGCATTTGTGAGACCGAACACTTCGGACCTTATCGCAGCTGGGTGTCGCTGGACATGTCGGCAGCCTGGGAGGGAAAGGCCTCAGCCGGCCTGTGGGATCCAGGCTCAGATTGGCGATGGCAGCTGGCACTGCCTGCTCCCCGCGCGGCCTTCTTTCCTAGCCAGGCGGTGGCAGAGCTCATGGTGAGCGGGGAAGATGAGAATGCATCTCTTGTCGAGTTCAGTGGCATCTTTCCCTTCGCAGCCTTCTGGCGTCGCCAGTCGCACGGAGCACCGATCGCAGTTCTTCAGCTGCTGGTCTTTGGTCGCTCTGGCCATGGCCCGTTTCCTTTTCCTTCCAAAAGAAATGAGATTTTGGTGCGCCTGGAGCTTCCCACCACACTGACTGCTGGGACTCGGGGCGGGGCCGGCCTCTCGCTACATCTTCCAGAAGACTATGAGTGCCTCAGCGCCGAAACCATACTCCAGCTCCAAGTGTTCGACCTTCCTCAAGATGCCCAGTTGCTCGAGTCCCTTGAAGTGTCTCGCGATCTGGAAGACTTCCTGGCATCCGTGGCGCATGAGACAGCGCGACGGGGGTGGAGGCAACGAGGCACCCGGCCCAGCGAGTGCTTCCTGAACCTGGAGGAGTCGCTGGGATGCAGCACAGTGGACGTGATCCCTCGTTTGAGTCTGGTTTTGCTGCCGGAAGCCCCTTTCCTAGGTTCGAGGCGTTCTACACTGGCCAAGTAATCTATGTGAAGGTGATGCTAGGACTGCAATTCAGTGTGGGGGGGAAGGGGTTTGCCGTGTGCAGCTTTCGTTGAATCCGCTCAATCCTCCCAAGCCAAGGGCGTTTCACACACCAAAGTCCGTGCGCCCAGCCGAGCAGCGGCCTCGACCTTCCATTTCCGCAGAGTATTACAGTGCCTGAGTGCCTTACAGTGATGATATGTGGCAGGCCCTGGCATCTCGAGCTCCGCAGCCGAGGCACCAGAAGCGAGAAGATTTTCTGAGAGACGTTTACACAGTTTTTTCTGGGAGGCGAGGATTGGGAGGCCTCCACGCCCGAAGGGCTCAGCTTCCCCAGCTCGGGCTCCGACGGCACCGGCACCGGCACCGTTTGGCAACTTGGCGTTAAGGGAAAGAAAAAAAGTCGCGGAGAAGCCTCGGCTTGAGCCAAGATCTGCCAAGGCAGGGCGGCATGAGCGTGCTCGGTGACCTGCGCTCCGTCACCCTGCAGCCCTCCACGCTCTCCTTCTCGGCTGTGCCTTGGGAGCATGTTTTTCGTTTGCCTTGGCCTTGTTGGTCCTATGCTCTTCGGGGGCCCGAAAGCAGGCGGCCCTTTGGCTGACCGTCACCTTGCAGCCGCATCGGCACTTTGCAGCCGCTGTCATCATCGACGGACCGAAGAGCGTCGATTTTCAAAGCTGTGCGGCTCGCGTGCTCAACGAGGCTTTCTGGTTCGATGCATCCTGCCTCTCTTTCGCTTCCAATGGCCAGTCTCGAGGCTCTGCGAGCTGAAGGCGTTCGCCCCTTGCCGCTTGCATCTCGGCAGAGGGCTTCGGTGGCATGTCGGCATGTTGCAGCCACAGCAGTGTGTGTCACGGGCGCTGACGACTTGTGTGTCAGGCAGAGGGGCCAAGCCCAAGCTGCGTGGCTGGCACGTGGCCTTGCCTTTTCCGACAGCTGCCGCCTCATTGCGCCGAAGACCCCGCCCCGGCCCTGCCCAGAAGTCGAGCGGCTTTGCTCAAAGAATTTCGGCAACACCTGATCGGGACGAATGGGACATTGTGATTTGTACCAAGTAGACGCTGGATACTGCATGCTGAGCTGAGGCTTTCGTCCATCTCAGAGAGCACCTCGAGCCCGGTCAGTTGTATAGTTGCTGGGCTGCACGGGGCGCGGCACAGACTGACAGACGCCGATGGGGCGAGAACTGGAAGCATCCCAGCCGTGCAAGGCTTCGAGGTCTCGGTGCGCTCTTTGAGCCTTGCAGCCGGTGAGTGGTATGTCTGGACACAGAGCAGCTCCGGGCCTGAACTCCTGGAGGGGTCCCCCTGGCGGCAGTGGCTGTGGAAGCGGAATCCGTCGGAACGTGCCTACGACGAGGTCGCTGGCCGTCTTCAACCCCGACCACGGGGAGCCTCCGTGGCAACTCTCCGTCGAGGACTTGCAGGCCAGGGCCGCCAGGGCAGGGCCAACGGCGCAAAGACTTCCCGCTCTCTCAGGTCAACATCTCCCTCTCGGACCGCAGGCCGGCAGCAGCGCTTCCCCTGACTGCGGGGGACCGAGGGCACCAAGCATACACAAAGGCCCCAAGATACCGTTTGACTGCCCGCTCTAAGTTGCAAGGATCTCGTGCTAAGACAAGGAGTTGTTAGTTCGACGTCCTGTGCCATACTTTCGGAGGTGGTAGTCTTTCGATTGACTCCCTGCCTTCTGCTTTGGAAAGGCCCTTCCTTCTCAGCGGAGCCACTGGGAAAGTCGAGGTTGACTTTCGGAGCCCCCGCAGTGGGAGGCGCCTCACCGAGTCAGAGCGCGCCCCAATTGACTCGTCGAATCGGTCGAATCGCGTCCTTTGAGGACCGGCTTGCGAATCATAGCTCCCAGCGGCTACATCTGGGGCCCGCCCGTCACAGCTGGTGTCCTTCCTCGCGATTGCTGGGCAGCGGTGGCGATGCCAAGCGGCTGGCCAGGCTGCGAGGCGGCGAGGCCCCCAGCCGCCCCTTCTGGGCAAAGCTTCTTCCGGCTTCTTCTTTCGGTTCCGAGATGTTCCGAGGTTGCCAATGTGGTCACTTGGGACGGCCTCGACCTCTCCAACGAGACTTACATCCTGCAGCTGGAGGCAGCTGGGGATTCAAAGGGGGCTGGGCGGCCGCGGCCTTTGACAGGTTCGAGTGCCGGCCCAGATGCCTCGCTTGGGAAGCAACGCTTTCTTCGTGCAGCTGGGCGCTTTCAGCTCGGAGGCCGTGGAACAGGCCGGTTGGGCCGGCGCGGTCGTGAGCAATGACGCGATGGGCGAGCCATTTCTGATCTTGGCGATCTCAGAGGCCTCGGTGGCCTGCAACTTGGCAGCCATCCACTCAGTGCATGTGCTAAACCCCATCGTTGTCTCTGAGATTCAAGGCTCTTGCACGGCTGCCGGAATCCGCGCAAACTACGTGCGGTTCGCCGTGCGCTTGCCTGCTCTGCAGGCAGGCAATGTCCTGCAGATTTCTGGCGACGTGGCTACGGCAGCATGGCTTCGCATACAGCTTACGTGCCATCCGGCCCATTTTGCCGTTCGCTTTTCGATGCATGTCGATACCGGTCCTGGACCGGACCCTGCTTGGAAGGTCTGGGGGTAGTTCCTTGTAGTCAGGCCGGATTGACCTTCTCTGCATCCTGTGCCATCCGCGCTCCGCTTGCCACCGACATGCCTCGTGGCGCCATCGCAGTGCCCGATGGCACGGACTGTCAGTACCGCACGACGGAGATGACACTCTTGGCTCCTTGGAACATTGCAAACATTGAACATTAGGACCGGGGGCGGCCAGAAGCGCGGGTTTGGCTTCATCTTCTCTTGCTTATAAGGACAGTGGCGGCGTAGTTCGGATCGTGGAGGCGCCTTTGTTGCTTCTCAGCGCCTCGATGCCATGGCCAGGGGCCTTCTACGCGGTCGAAGTGCTCGGCCGCAATCCGCCCAGCCCCGGCCCTGCCGGTACTTGGACCTTCGAAGTTTTCTCCGCAAGGCACCTTCATGCCTTGCTCCTTGCCCTCTTGCACTCTACTCTCAGTCGCTGACGGTGTTGCGACATGTCCTGCTTTCCATGGTTGCAGATGTTGCAGCTTGCTGCGACGAGGTTTCTCGCTGCATCGGCGGTTGGCTGTCCAGTGCGCCGTGCTCTTTCAGCAGGGCTGCTGGCTGCGCCGGAGCCCTACAGCGAGCAGGCGACGGCTTGGGAAATCACTGGACGGCCAGGGCACAGAGATCACGTGGTGCTCTCTCTCTCGGTCACAGAGCGACCAGCGGTCGAAAGTGGCCACCTCCCGCTTCGCCTCGTCGCTCCCAAGGGGTGGACACCTGGTCGCAGGCTGCCGCAGGTTGCCGCAGCGGGTTGCAGTCGGTTTGAGGGACCCGGCAAGCTTGGTTCCGCAGAAAACTGAGACTTAGGAGCTTTGTGTCTACTACGGGTTCCTTCGACGACGGAGACTGCTCGGCTTATCCGGCTTACCCCGATCCCTCCTCCAGAACTTTGTGGCCGGGACGTCTTGGAGCGTGCCGTGGGCGCGGCCGCGAAGCGGTGATTGAAGTGCCGGCTGGCCTGGAGCCGCTGAACGTCTACTCTCTGCGGGTGGCCGTGATCAATCCCAGGTATGAAGAGCTCTCAGAGCTCTCCGAGGAGGCCCTTTGGTTTCTGGAGCTCGGCGAAGAAGCGAGTCCCCCGCTTCTCGGTCCAAGGCTCCGATTGCTTCGTGACATCCGTGTGGAGCCCACGAGCACCGCAGCCCAGGGGCGCAAAGCGCCCCTGGTGCTCAGCTTGGTGCCTTCCACGTCCGTTCCTTCACATGGACGCCTCCGCATCACGGCTCCCCAAGGCATCGCATTCGAGCCAGGCAGCTGTCTTTTGGTAGAGTCCGCTGGTGCCTGTGAGCAATGCTCCGCCGTGCTGGAAGCTTTGGACGATCTTGCGGCCGCGGCGACGAAGGTCCGGCGCTCAAACCGGGAGGTCAATGTTCCTGAAAGCCTTTGCCTTGCAGGCTGGCGGATGGTGTGCTTCAACTTCTGAGTGTTCAGACGAGGCCAGCAATTGTCCGGAGGCTTACTTCTCGTTTGCCGTGGCGCTGTCCACGGCACAGCAGTCTGAAAGCATCAGCGTTGCCGCATCCTGCAGCTTTCGATTGCTTCCCGAAGATGTCCATTGCGAGACGGAGGATGCCCAAACCGGCCAGTCGCTGGTCCTACAGCTTTCCCGAATGCAGTTCGTTTTTGGCCGGCGGTACGAGGTTTCTGTCGACATTCGACACCCTTCCATGGAGGTCGCTGAAAATCTCAGCGACCCATGGGAGGCTTGGCAGCTGCAGACGGAAACACTAGTGGATGGCCTTTGGCAGCCCGTGGACGTGGGCGAGGCACGAGAAGTAGGAACTCTCACACATGTTTGTTGGGAAAGCTTGTTGGACGCAGCCTCTTTTGTGTGTTGCAGGCACCAAGCTATGCTTTGTCTCCGGCATTGGGCTTGAGTGTTGAGCTACAGCTGGAGCCGCCCAAACGCTTGCGCAACGGGTCTCTTTGTCAGCCGCCGATGGCTGGTGGGAGCACCGGCGTGGTCGATGTGCTTCTGGACTTGGCCCTTCCACTGCTCCCAGAAGACGAGCTTTACATTTGGCTGCCGCCCGACCAGCTCATCTCTTCTTGCCAACTCTCCGACTCTTCACCACCATCAGCAACCCACGGATCGCTCTGCGGCGATCCGGCAGAGCTCGAGATTGATTGGGAGGGCACGGGCAGCACGGTGCCTCCGGTGGAAGTGGATCCAAACGCAACCAGCACAGCATCCACCACGAGTACAGTTACCAGAACGAGCACCACAAGCACGACCACCAGCACCATAACATCAACGACCTATTCGGGATCAAGCACAGACTGCGACAGCTCTGATGGCGGCCTGTGCCGTGGTTGCATCCTTGTCGATTTTGGTGCCTGTGGCAGAAACGGTGGATTGCTGAGGTGTTTGAAATGCCGCTGTGATACTACCTGCGAGCTGCTCCTGACGGGCACGCGGGGTTTGGGCCAAATTCAGATCCGACTGGAGGTCGTTCAGACTCTCGGCGGCAAGCAGCTCCCGGCTAGATCCTAGCTCCTGTTCGAACTCCTCAATCCTCAGGGGACAAAGCATCGTGCACCATGCCCGGAGCTACTGGCGCGCGGCGCACCAGAGCCACCGAGCTGCACGCACCTGTGAAAGTTGAAGAGTTTTCATTTGGATTTGTACTGTCGTTCCAGTTGACAGCACGACTGCTGGGTTCAACACGAGACTTAAAGGGTTTACTTTGCTCCTTTGGAAATCCCGTATACAGAGGCTCTGGCAGCACGCTGGCATCGGAGGTGGCCCCGACGTGGGCAGTGCGGCCGACGCTGAATGCAGCGGTACGCCTCACTCCAGGACAGTCCTGTCCCGTCCCGTCAGTTCACAGCTTTGATTTTTCGTCCATTCAGGACAGACGCCACCGGAGCTCCCATCTGGAAGCATGAAGGTGGGATGACGGAACTCCGTTGGCGAGACGTCATGTAATGTAGCAAGCGTCTTGATAGAGAGAAGCTGGGATCGCTTTATCTCGCCTCGCTTTCGCTTGGCGGAAGTACGCATCGACGAGCGTCCACGCTCGGCAATCGCACTTCAAGTAGCCAGTCACTTCTGTTGAACAGTCGTTTTGTTCCATTCTTCGCTTTGCACACATACGATGCACGTCCATGGAAGTTTCAAAGTGCTGAGCATTGTGGACCTGACGAATAATCACTGTTTTGGGATGTGTTGTGGTGCCACTGACATGTGTCTCGAACATGTGCTTATGGAATCGAAGCGGGCACATGGGAAAAGACTGGTTTTGATGTACTTGCTGCCTCTGATTTGTGTGTGTGTGTGTGTCTGTC